ATAATAGCAACTGAATCTCTTTTTCCCATCTCCAAGGGATGTGGTATATTTTAGCATACTTGTCAAAAAATAAATTTGACTTGCTAAACCTAGCAAGCCATCCAAATAAAAGCAAGCCAAAAAAATTAATAAAAAATTAAATCAAAGTCCAAAAAAGTAACGGGAATAGAGAGAGGCACATGAAAAGGTCATTCTTCTTCCTCCGCTTCAATCCTTTTCTTCTTCCTCCAACTTTTAATCCAAATGAGCCGACCTGGAATTGAGGTAATTGCTGCCTAGATTCTTCATTATTTTGCATCTTCCACCATTTAGAGGAAAGATACAATTGGATTATTTCTCTCGTACAGTAAAGTGCTGAGTCATTTGATAATTTTTTAGTGTTTTTTGGATACAAGAATATAACTCAAATAAGTTAAAATGAGCAAATGACCACTAAATACAGTGGAGATGAAATGGCCGTTGAAATATGACCATTAGTGAATTAATTCACTGTAATTCATTTTTAATTACTAAAAGGAAATTCCTTATATTTTAAAATCTAGTTGTTGGTTAAATTTTAGCAAGCATGGTTGGAGAATGGAATAAAAACCTACTTGCTATATCACTATTCACTAGCTAAAATTTAACAATAACAATTTAATATAGCAAAGATGGTTGGAGATGCTCTTATAAACCCATAATTTAACTATAAAATGAACCTTAAAAAAGAGTGGGTTAGTTGTATAATTGGTTCTTTCAAAAAGTTGGTTTTTTCATATTTAAGGCTAAATATCGTCATTATCTCCCGTGATTTTCAAAATAGGTACCAATAACTGCTTTCAAAATTTATTTCTAAAATTCTTATGTTTTCAAAACATTGCATCCATGTCCCTCTGATCATTTTCTGGTGAAAAAAAAAGGAATTTGTGCATATTTTTTAAATTATAGGGGGAGTACTAGTGTTGATTTTCTATTTCTAGGGTGGGTGGGCAAGTAGGAGGCAGGGGTAGGGTTTAGGAGGGTTAGGGAAGGTGAAACCATCAATTATTTAATTTTACAAACGAATCAGCGCAGGAAGCTCAAGTCAAAATGACTCGAGGTTCAAGGGTCAAAAAATCATTTTGTTTGAAAAAATAACATATACTGTATATGTACATCTCAAATTATCAATTTTTGTTTTTTATTCTCCGAAAAAAGTAAAATTTATTTTAAGAACTTTAAAAAAATTAAGGAATAAAATAAGAAACAAAAAAATTAAAAAATAAAAATGAATATCCTTTTTGGACATCTCAATTTCAAGGAAATTTTTAGGCTTGTCCGAAAACTGTTTTTTGTACAAGACTCTTTTTGTATGTTTTAATTTTTCCATTTCGCTTTTCAATATTTTTATTATTTTATTTTGTATTTTCTTCTTGAACTTTCCAAAAAATTATTTCAAGAAAAAAAAAGTGAAAATGTTTAATTTGAGATAGATGTAATGTATGTTAATTTTTTTATTTTAATTTTTATTTCAAACTCAAAGAATTTAAAATTTTTAGAGACATTATAAGAAATTCAAAAGAAATGTTAAAAAAATCCACGAAAAGGAAAAAGAGATAGAAAATATTAAAAAAAAGAAGGAAAAACACAAATAAAAATGAAAAATAATAAATGAATACGAGTGCCCCTATAGTTTAGAAATTAGCGCCAATGCCTTCTATTCGGCAGAAAAATGAGAAAATGGCCAGAAAATGATTAGAGGACATGTGGGTCCAACGTTTTGAAACCACGGCTACTTTAGAAATAAGTTTTGAAATATAGGGATATTTGTACCAATTTTTCAAACCACAGGGGCACCGAAGCTATTTGGCCTCGTATTTAACCATTTATTTCTTAATATCACATGGTCTTTTGTAAATGGTATCTTTCCAAGGATAGTCCTCTGATCCCTTTTACTTTCCGTTATATTGATTTTAATTAAGTGTTAAAAGTGTCATTTGATACGAGTCATACATCTTTTGTGTTAGAAAATAAAATATCTTTTCTTAGATCACAACCACAAGCTCGAGCTTTTGATTGGGTTGATGTTAGACTCTATCTCATATCGGAAGTTGAATATAAATGTAATCAGTATATAAGTTTTTGGGTTGAACTAAGTAATATGTAGATTGGATTCAATCTTTTGATATGGTTTAACCCAAGTACATTATTATTCAATCGAGTTATCTCTACATCCTCTTAAATTCTATCATGGTATCTAAGTCGATTTTAACCCACCTCATTTGACCAAGTGTCCGTCTAGACGTTCATTTCTAATGGCCCGTAAGTCTTTAATCCAGTTATATGTATGGAGTATGTAACCAATAGTTTGTTGCCCGCTTAGCACGATTGCTCGTCTGTAAATTTATACCCAGCAGCTAGTGGTCATTTAGGTATTGACGCTAAAAAAATTCAAGGGGGATGAGAATCCATTTGCAAACGGTCAAATGGTTAGATTCAAAATGACTCGTTTATCTACTTGAGGGGGGTGTTAAGGTCTATCCCATATCAGAAGTTGAATAAAAAGATAATCGATATATAAGTTTTTGAGTTGAACTAAGTAATAGATTGGATTCAATCTTTTAACATGGTTTAACCCAAGTGTCGTATGTCCTAGTCCAGGTATCTTTACCCCATCATAAATTCTATTAGTTGATTTCTTAAAATTAAAATGATATCAGAGCTCTCTTAAGTAAGAGCTCACAAGTACAAAACTCAGCACCACCCACTTTATTTGAAATGTTTCTTTTGTGATTCTTTTGTTATCAACAGTGTTGAGTTTTTTCTAGCTACAATGACTAGATTTATGATTGTGAGCGGATGTATAAGAAATGTGAAATTTGAAAGAGAGGGTGTAATTAGTAAAGAATGGTTTGACAATGTCATAAATTTCGTGGACATTTGTTCGTCCAATCTCAATGTTGATCGCTCTAAGAACAACATGCATTGTCCGTGGAAGTAATGTAACTATAATAGAGCACATCCTGTGATTTGGTTTCACTTTAAATTATTATGAGTTAAATTAAGAAGATATTAAAATTGATTCAGAAAGAGAAGATTTGAAGTCCAAGTTTAAAGCTCGGGGTTTCAATCCCTTCTCTAGTGCTCTTTGCTTTTCAACAACTATCCAAAACTAAGGCTCTGTTCCGTACGCCTGATCTGATTGAATCTGATCCGAATTTTTGAAGTTCTGATCTAATCTGATTGGATCTGATATGATCTGATTAGGTCTGGTCTGATCTGATTGAATCTGATCTGATCTGATTGGATCTGATCTGATCTGATCGGATCTGATCTGATATGATTGGGTCTGATTTGATCTGATTAGATCTGATCTGATCTGATTAGATCTGATTTTTTCTAATTAGATCTGGTGTAAATGAATTTAAATTTGATTTAAATTAAACTTAAAATTATTACAAAATTTAATAGTTTAAAAGTATTATAATTCATATATACATAAAAAAGTAAAATAAGAAAATCAGCTAAGCATCAATATGTTTAAACTTTTTTTAAAAAAAATATTAAACATCTTTTCAATATCACAATTTTTTAATTTTTGTGAAAACTAAATAATCAGTATTAAATAAACAAATTTTAGAAAATATTACCAAGTGTGTTATAATATAGCAAGCCCCTTGGAGCATAAAAATGAAATGGATTGCCAAATATTAACATTTAACAAATCAAAACTCAATGGTTGGAGATGCTCTAAAGTATGAAAAATAAAACTTTTTAAGCTTTAACATTGCTTCCATGCATCATTTCTATCCTATAAGTTAAACAATTATATAAAATAATGGTTTGTAGTTGAAATATAATAATAATAATAATAATAATAATAATAATACAATAATATTAAAAATTATAATATTAATTAAGATTTATGTGTGTGTAGTTTTGAATAAAGTAATGTGATTTAATCAAATAATAGTAATTATTATTTAATCCTTGAATAATATAAAGATTATCTTTTATATTTTTCTTGATTTGATATTATTGAATTTGATCTGGTCTGATCTGGTTTGATTGGATCTGGTCTGATCTGATTGGATCTGATCTGATCTGATCTAATTGGATCTGATCTGATCTGGTCTGATCTGATTGGATCTGATCTGATCTGATGGAGTCTGATCTGATCTGATTGGATCTGATCTGATCTGATCTGATTTTAATAAGAATAAGTAATAAGTAGAAAAAATAAGTCCTACGGAACGGACCCTAACATACATAAGAAACTTTGGTATTCCATATTATTATGAATTACTACCTCCGTCTACAAATAAACTTCTCGTTCAATGTTTATAAAATCAAACTTTATTCACTTTGTTGTCTTATTTTTGTCACTCATTTGATAAAATAATATAGGCATGTGACATCTAGTTTTGTAGATCTTTTGATATAGTTTTTTAATATGTACTCCGTAATTTTTATTTTTAAATTTTACATCATTCATATAAAATAATTTGAAATAAATTCAGTCAAACGTTGTAACGCGAAATGAAAAGTTTTTTGTGGACAGAGGGAGTATTATGGATGACATTGAAAAGTTGAATTATTTATAGGAAATGGAGAGCCTAAAATTAATTTCTCAGTTTAACTTTTGTAGTCAAACTTTTTAAATTTTGACCGTAGATTAAGGAAAAAATACATTGAATTTTCATATAAATTTATTGGGAATAGATTCATTTGGGAATATAGTTTTGAAATATATAATTTTTATAAAATATATTTATATAAAAATTGAGATATTGATAGTTAAAGTGTCGCATTGGAGACCGTGAAAAGTCGAATAGGGAGTGAATTTTAGAACGGATCGGATGGAGTATTTCATCATGGAAAATGCTAGGAGTACACCAAAAGTGTACCCCAAACATCCCCACCCCCTCCATCACCACAAAAAAAGGCAAGAAATATTCAAAAAAAAATTAAAAATAAAAACAAAATAAAATGAATGGTAGAAAGAGGAGTGTTATACATTTGGGGTATCCATTTGCTGTATCCACTAGCATGTCCCTTTCATCGTTTCCACGGGAAGGGTAGTGTTTTTTTGTTTGGTGTTGACACCGGCCCACTAATGCAAAAAGAAAGATAGAAAGATGCCAAAAGCCAAAACAGATCTGAGTAGAATCTGACTTCGCACCGCATCTTCGTCGTCGTCTCCATCGTTCCTTTTTGCAGAGGGAAAGAGCCAAGGAAAACTCGTCGTCCATCTGAATCTTCTCTCTCTTTCTCTCTCACCCAATATCTCCGGAGCCTGTGCGTTTTATCCCCGGGATTGGCGTTTCCCGGCGGGCACTAGCATGATAACGGCGTTGTCATCGGCGTTTTGCGAGTGGACGCTCATCTGTATGCTGTTCATCGATGGCGTGTTCGGATATTTGATCACCGAGTTTGCCCGGTACTGTCGGCTGCAAATCCCGTGCTTGTTCTGCTCGAGGCTGGATCGTGTTCTCGGCCGGGAGGAAGGAGCAGGGTTCTACTGGGATTTGATCTGCTCCGACCACAAGTCCAGGATCTCCTCCTTCAACCTCGCGGTTGTGGAAGAGACTCCTCCCAGCGATAGAAATTGCTCTTGCTGTAAGGAGAACAAGTGTGGTTCTGAACAAGGGTTTTCCCAGCAGTTGGTTCCAATTATTGGGTTTGAAGCAGCTGGTGAATTGGAACTTGCTGATGAACCGGACACAGATGATGATTGTGAAGAGGATCATTCCAAACAAGATTTGATTGATTCGTTTATTCATCCAGAGCCTCAAAACATTACCACTGCAGAGGATATTTCATGTGAGCAATTGTTGATCCATCAGAATTCAGTGCCAATTTTGGGTTCAGAAGCACAGCTGGAAGACGACCGAGGGTCCTCTTCTAATCGAGTTTCACCAGAGGATGTTGGCAATGGCTCGGCCGGGATCAGCTCGAGGCAAGCTGAGCATGGTGAACTTATATCCTTTGATGAAGACCTTCCATCGCCATATGCTTCCTCAACTCATGATAATTTTCCCGGGAAGCCTTGTGAGTTCAACTTTCATTTTGTATTTTCCTTTCTGGGAGCCAAACTTTTCCATCTTCATGAATCTATTATCAGATTCTCTGAAATAATTGCCTTTAACAGTCAACATGCACTGCTTTTTGCAAGGATAATGATTCTACAATAAATTACCATATTCCGTGATAAATTTATGGTGCTTTTGATGACATAATTGCCTAATATTGCTTGGTTTCTGACTTCCTGTAAATGAATCAACTTTTTACTATAATGAGCTATTATTCCATAAACAAAAGGTCCGTTTGGATAAAATGGTTTTTTTGGATAAAGGGGTTTGCTTTGGTGGGATTTGTCTGTATTTAGGCATATAGAAGGTTCATAAAAACAAAAAATAATAATAGGTAATTAAAAAGTTATATGATCACGTATCATGTTAACTTTTTTTTTATTATAATACAACCTCTTATCTGTGTGTGTGTGTGTGTGTAAAGTGGGGTTATTCTTACAACAATTCTCTAAACATTAATATCTTTCAGTTGGAATATTTATTGTGAAACCCACCGCATGATTGAAATTCACTAGTTCATACATCATCATCCTAAAAATATTTCAAGAATCCAAAGTCATTTTGTATGAAATCAAAGAACTCATATTTTAACATGTTTTAAACCTATGTATTGCATTAAACCTAGTATTTTTCTTTTTTGACAGCCGCTACAACAATAACAGCAGAGTTGGAGAAGGAAATGCCCCAGACGGCATCAAGCGAATCACAGTTGGGTTCTAAACCCGATACAACTGATACTGTAAGTACTCCGAAGGCATCATCTTTAGAATTAGGTGATGCTTATAAGTTGGCTACTAGCAGTAGGGTCATGGCAGTAAGGCAACTCTCTGGAAAGTTTTTGAAGCAGTTGTCCTTGAAGGATTCAACACAAAACAGTGAAGATTTGAAGCTTCTACTGTTACAATTTTCTTCTTCCAGGGGGATTGAGTCTTCATCTATATATGATATTACTACCAGGCCTTCTCTAAATAGTGATGAGTTCAAAGCATCTGATTCTTCTTCCACCTCTAACAGAAGGATGTCCCTTGAGAGAAATGAATCTAATATCTCTCTAGACGGAAGCATGGTTAGTGAGATCGAAGGAGAGAGTATCGTTGATAGATTGAAACGACAGGTGGAGCATGATAAGATCTTGCTGAGTAGTTTGTACAAAGAATTAGAAGAGGAGAGGAGTGCCTCTGCAGTTGCTGCAAATCAAGCAATGGCAATGATAACTAGATTACAAGAAGAAAAAGCAGCGCTTCAGATGGATGCATTACAATGCTTGAGGATGATGGAGGAGCAAGCAGACTTTGACAATGAAGCACTCGAGAAAGCAAATGAAACTAGTGTGGAGATGGAAAAAACGATACAAGATTTAGAAGCCAAGCTTGAAGCATATAAAATTAAATATGGTGATGTTACCCTCTTGACCAATGTGGAGGCAAGTATTGAGTCAAGTAGTGCAAGGGAAATAGATACTGCAGATATGGATGAAATTAGCATACAAAACCGTGGAAATGTTGTTGGTGATGCAGATGAGGATACAATTGGAGAGATGGAAAAGCCAATCATGAGGAGGAGCCCGAACTTTGACTTTGAAAGTGAAAAACTATACATCAAGAGATGCTTGATGAATTTGGAAGAGAAGCTTCTTCTATTTTCTGCCATGCCATCTTCTGATCCGGCTGCATGTGAATCTTCAGCTGAGGAATGGATTAAAGTGAGTAATTCAACAGAAGTTGAGAATAGGGAAGATGTGCAAGAAAATAGGGAAATAGAAGATAGTCCTTTCCAACAAGATGCAATGAAAGAAAAAGGACATGTGGCTGAACGTATTCAGTTGGATACACTAAGAAATGAGCTATCTACTTTGACCAACAGATTAGAACTGCTCGAGGAAGAGCATAATCTAATTCAGCATTCAATCAACTCACTCCAAAATGGAGAAGAGGGGCTAAAGTTTATTGTGGAGATAGCTGGCCATTTGCAACAGTTGCATTTGAGAATAAAATGACTTTTATTATGAAAAAGGTGGGACTTAGTGCACTAATATTAGCTATTCATATTTACTTTTCTTCATTATAAGGTCTGTTAGACTGCTACCGTTTTTTTAAAAACCCAGAGTATACATATATATTAGTCAACATCATTTTGCAACTTCGTAGATTAGACATGTTGAACTCATTATAGTATGCAGACACGAATGAGTGTTAATCCAAGCAAAATCATTTCCCGTTGAGTTAATATGATCATAGAGTGGTATGAAGTTGTTTGCGAAGAATAAATGCAACAGATTATACATCTGGAATCTGTATTTATGGTTGAAGTATTGTATGTTGAACTTTTGCAAGTTGTATTTTTTAGTGTTAACAGTCGTCTAATAGGTAAAAAAAATCTGTTAATCTTTTCGCTTTGCTAGGCACTAGCTGACCTTGGTTAGAGTCGATCTACATGTATCTTAACTAAGAGCCTAAACATTTGAATAGCATCAAGTTTATGTTAGCTCCCTGGCATATTTCAATTCTATCATTCATTTCCTTTGAACAATAGTTTGTCAACTCAATTTTTTCCTGTTATGTTACTCCCGCAGTCTTCAAAAAGGAGTCTTGTTTGAAATTTTATATATTGTCCCCAAAAAGAGTCTTATTTGAGCAAATTAGCAAAAAGAAGATAATTTTCATCATTTTTGTATATTATTCTATAACAGGTGTGCTAAGCAAGTTGATTGTGCTATATTAGTATATTTAGTTGAAACAACAAATAAATTTAAAAATATAGTTATATTTGATGACTTCCAATAGTTATAACGTACTAAAATTTAAAAGTTGTATTTTTATGAAACAAGACTCTTTTATGGGATGGAGGGAGTACATTTTCTTACAAAACATTGTAAATGTGTACACTAACCGAGTTTCTTTTTATTATGTCATTGCAGATTCAAATGTATGAAAGATAAATATGTTAACTTTGCCGGGACAAGAATGGAAACAACAGTGAGAACAAAGTACTTTATGGGTGTGTACAAACTGTTCTGCTTTCTCAATTCTCATACGAACAAGTAGCGGAACAACATATTGATTATTCAAGATTCTAGAATTACTAGCTTGTGAGTAAATCTCAGTTTTATGTTTTTCTTGTTTTAGATGTTTGCTTTTCTGTGTTGCCATAGTAGTCTTTTAATTTTTAGGTTGGAGGGAAGTTTCAAATATTAGTTTGTTTTCCCTCTGAATTCTTGTTTTTTGTTTATAAATTTTATTATGAATTTTTTATTGCAGAAGATATTCTTCCTTCACAATGTCCACTTGTTTTAAATACTGAAAGACAATAAGGCCCCGTTTGGTACACGGAATTCAAACTATGGAATTGGAATTGAGGACTTCAATTCCAATTCTGGTGTTTGGTAACACAAAAATTATGTGGATTTGGAATTGACAATGCAAAAAATGAATTGAAATTGGCAGAATTCAATTCTATAGAATTGAATCCCATGGAATTTCAATTCCAATTCAATTCCAATTCCATCAATTCCGTATACCAAACGGACCCTAAGGGTTGGCTTCTTTTCGTGCACTTATTCTCTTAATAATCTAATTACATTGCGAAAATTACTACATACTCCCTCCATATGAAAAAAAATTTTGACCAAAGAAAAGCAAAGAAATTAAAGCAAGAAGGGATTGGAGGGAAGTTGGATATGAAAGAAAATACTAAGAATTTCTACTTGCACAAAAACAAACACGATATCATATATGTGCTGCATCTTGGAAAGAGATACAAGTCTGGAAAAGAAACTGCAAGAAAAATGATACAAAAACTAATAAGGGCAAACCTACAGCCTTGCCATCGCCACACACCCCCGGCAGTGCATGGGTGGGGGTGGGTGGGGGGGGGGGGGTTGCACTCGATAAATATATGTATATATCTTTTATCTGTTATAGTAAGTAAAATATATAATAGCAGAACTTGAAAGTATAATAATATATATCCTCATATACCCAGACTGAGATACAGTATGTATGAGTTTTGATGCAAATAAATGCCACTACTGCTTGCTTTCCTCATTCTTCTTTGGTGCTTCTTCTGCTTCTGTTTCTTGTGCTGCAGCTTTAGTGTTCTTCGGTGCCATTAAGTTGTCGAATTTCTCGGTTTTTTCCAGCACGATCTCGATCTGATAAAGTAAGTACTTGAAGGATTGTTAAACTTGTTCATTGATAGTACTGGGTAATTAATTAGTGTATATGATCTGTAGAGAAAAAATTGCAGGAATTGTGTTTGATTTTTACCCTGGCTTTCTGGACCATGCGCCCTTTCGCTTCGTCTTTCATTCCAACTGTTGATGTTAAAACCTCTGCACCATTTTTACAGAGATTACATGACAATTATAATAATTACTACGCATTATTCTTATTATTTTTATTAATTTGTATTATTATTAGTATTATTATTATTTATGTGGGTTAAAGATGGAGAGAATGCTTACTTTTCTCAGTTGCAAAGCCATTGTTCTTCAGAATCTCAGCCACAGTAACAACAGTGGTGATTGCTGTAAATTTTTTGTTCAAAGGATTGTCAAAAGAATTGGTTATTGTCCCATTATTTGGGTAGGAGAACGCTAACCGCAACAATTGTACAACATTTGTACACTTGAGACAAAAACGACTCCATCTTTTATGTTTGTGTTTGTCTTTGATGTAGAAATGTTGTACAATTGTTGGGTACCCAATAATTTTTCATTTGCATAACAAGGAAATGAGGGAAAGAAGCAAAAAAAAAAAAAAGAAGATAGTGAATGTAAAATGAAATAAAAAAGAATTCAAAGATAGTTTTTTTACCCATGCCAAGGGCAGATAGTTCAACCTCGTTATGCTGCTGAATGTACCTCTGCAAGATAAAATTGTTATATTCATTTTATAATATATATACAACAACAGAAACAATAAACACAATAAAATCTCACAAAAAATATGGTGTAAAGAGACCACAATAAACACAATAAAAATAATTGAAACTTATTTGCTCACATATTACAATATTAAACTTAGCTTGTTTTCTATTCATATTCCAAAGTAAAATATAGTAAACCTTTTCTGTTTTTTCAATTATTTTTATTACGGAGTAAAATAATTCTCCGTGTGTACTAGTGATTAATTACCATTATTATTACGATGTCATATTAGTTAAAAATTAATTGAAAAATATGGTAGGAGACCTAAATTCATCAATTTTACTGACACACTAGATTCTTTTGTCAGAAAATTCGGAATATATTTGTAACAATGCATTCAAATTGGGACCATTGACATATCTCTTAAATTAAAATTATTGAGAGAATTATGTAATTTTTTTTTGGCAATGCATCACCATTCATCACAAAGTTGTTGAGAACTTTTTCGTTTCTTTTTTGAAATGAAAATTTATTTTTGCCCATAATTGATTTGGGTATTACTCCGTCATTCCTACAAGAAAGAATTTTCACTTTCTTTATTTATCCATCCCGAAATGATTTTCTTACATTCTAAGTTTCTCTATTTATAAAAACTATAGAGTATAGAATAATTTTCTTTTTCAATTAAATTTCAAGTATTCACTTTTTAATATTTTTCTTAACTCTTCCTAAAAAACTAAAATAAAAAATCAATCATTTGAGACATAGAAAAATGTATTAAGGAGAGAATGGAGAATTAGATATAAGAGTGACCTTGGCAAGATTAACATAGAAGAAGAGGGGTTTCTTTGTATTGGACACTTGAATCCTATTATTCTTTTTCGGTGACTCAGTGTTATTTTTTGTTGGTTGGGGTGCCACCACTATTTCTGCCACAGCTTCCATCGTCATCTTGTAACGAATTTTGTGAACACAAAGAGAAAAGTGAAATAAGTTTTTAGCTTAATTAGTTACCCTCTACTAAATATTTTACTTTTGGAGGAAAAATATGACAAATTATTGGTAAATGTATTTGAGGGAAAAGACAAGCAAGTTTCAAGGCCTTTAATATAATGACATTGAAGGGTATTTAATTAATTTGTGGTCCTTTATACAAGGCACAAAACATTGAGAACCAAACATATGAATGTTTTGACTTGGTAAACATCCATTGGATTTGGAGATGAAACAATGGCCATCCACACTCTTAAACACAAGCCATTCACATTTCCTTTCTATCCGGGCGGGACTCTATGAATTATCGGCATGCATCTATATTTATTATTATTATTATTAGTATTATTATTATGATTATTATTATTATTATTATTATTATTATTGTTGTTGTTGTTGTTGTTGTTGTTGTTGTTATTATTATTATTATTATTATTATTATTACTATTATTACTATTATTATTATCTTTATTATTATTATCTTTATAAGTATTTTATTTTCATCATCATCATCATCGTCATCATCTTCATTACATTATCTTAATGAATGCCTTTAAGATACACAAAATATATTGTTATTTTCAAATACAAAAAACTACTTTAAAAAAATTAAGTATAATATAAAGTTAACATAAATATAAAAAAATTAAATTTTAAAACGTTTTTGTGGTTACGTTGCACTTCAATTTATTTATGCAGTATTTATTATAAATAATATATTTGTAATTATACTTTATACGGAGTATATTACAAGATTTTGTTTTAAATATCAGACATGTCATATAATGTAATCAAACCTGTTTTTCTTTCATGATTGACATTTTATTTTCATTGAAGTCCTACTTTTGGAATAAAGACATATAACTTTTTTTTACATTTTTTATATTTTAATCCTCTTTTAGTCTTTTTCTCTAAACTATTTTGACTTACAATTTTTTTATAAAAATTAGAAAAATGAGAAAATTTTAAGTAATAAAGGGAAAGGCGAGAGGTCTTATATAAAGTTAGATTAATAAAAAATTCTATGTCACTGTTTTATCCATAATTTTTTAATATAGTTTAACATATTGATGTTTTCGTGTTTTATCATGTACTCCATATATTAATAAACAAAAAATTGTCTTATACATATTAAAAAGCTGAAGAAAAAATAATGAATGCGAATTATAAAAACAGTAAGATGAAAATAATAATTTATAAATTATAGTTATAAACATAATAGTTGTAATAATAATAATAATAATAATAATAATAATAATAATAATAATAATAATAATAATAATAATAATAACAACAACAACAACAATCACGTTTTAAAAATATATCGTTTTTAGAGCAATTGGTTGGAGAGTGGAAAGAGTTTGAAAAAATGAGAATAGTTGGAAAGAATTGGAAGGAACTGGAAAAAACTGGAAGGAACTGGAAGAAACTCGAAAAAAATGGAAGTAACGGGAAGAAACTGGAAGAACTAGAAGAAATTGAAAGAAACTGGAAGAAACTAAAGTTAAGAATTCAAGCACTAAAGAACAGGCTCTAAAAATAGAAACAAATCCAAACCTATACAAGGGCATTTAGAATACTTCTTAAAACAATTCATTGACTATAAATCATTAGAATATAGTACTCCCTCCGTCTCGCTATATTCGTCTATTTTTAACTTTTGAAATTGTTCATCCAAGCACTTTGACTCATCAAATTCTCTCAATGTGTAAGCCTAAATATAGTCATGTGTGATCTTGTTTGATTTGTATTAACATATAGATTATTAATATATAATTTCTATAATTTTTTAATATATAAATTACAAGATAAAATGGATTAAAGAAGTGTATTGGATGGTGTGCAAAAATGAAAGTGAACAAATACTCTGGGACGGAGGGAGTAATAATTTAGAAACATATTCTCTCCGTCCCCATTTTTATTACAATTTTTTTCTCTCTTTTCTATAGCTTTTGTTTATTTGTGTGTTTTCATTCATTATTTGATAAAATAAAATATTTTTATCACCTCTTGTTTTGTAAAACTTTGGATATAATTTTTTATATGTAATTTTTATTTATTATTGATGCACGAATTTGTAAATAAAATGATTTCAAAAACCATGAAATTTTACCCATTTTGTAATCAAAATAGAAACAAAGAGAGTACTAAATTAAAAAGGATCAATTATTGTTTATTGAGGTCAGATTTTATATCGTTTTTTGAAATCGAAGCACAAAACTTAATTAGAAAGTACTTGGTTCACAAACACAATAGTCACAAACTTCACAAATTTACTAATAGTGAACTTTAATTAAAAAAATTAAATAGTCTAAAATAATTTTAAAATGAAAATTTAAACCATAAATAGTAAGTTTGTGAAATTTGTGACCATTTTGTTTGTGAATGTAGCATTGATCAACTTAATATCACCATCGTCCAAGACACATACACAACAAGCATAATAGGCTATCTCTAAGTAAAATTTGCACTAAATAGAATTAAAACATAATGACTTTCCTAATATAGGACTTAACCTTTTTTATTTCCTAAATAAGACTTAATAATGACCTAGTGGGAGAAATAATGTTCAATAATGATGGACATTTACTTGAATAATGACTACTTGACAATGACCAAATCAGCAGTCCTATTTAGGTAAATTACTCTATCTCTAATGCATCATCTACTCTCACTTCAAATCAGCAGTCACTCAATGTCACATCAATACTAGTGATACTTACCATTTCACTCACTTTACACTTGTAATGTATGACCGTTATCACTGCAATGCATACACTTTTATTTTGTTATAAAGAATTTCCTTTTTATATTGAAATTAAATTATATCATTTATAAACTAACAATAAAAATTAATAAAAATTTATTTCGTTACTATTACTTTTTTCGTTATTAATTTTTTTCCTTTTTTAAATTATAAAAAATCATTACACCAAAGACAATCTCTTAAATAATGTTTCTTTTCAAATTACAATATTTCTATTCAAACTAGGTCATATCTGTTTTTATATAAAAAATTAAATAACTTTTTAAACATCTGTGAAATAAAATACTACTAAAAACTAAATGCAACCAATAAAAAATGAAGAAAATAATGATAAAAGAAAATTTACCCTGCTAAAAAAACTAAACAAAAAAACTAAAGAAGAAATGCGGAGGAAACAAAGAAGAAGAAAAACGGAGTACTCCACTTCTTCTCCCTGTGAATGGTGGCCACGGTGCATTACTCACGGGCACAAGAGGGCGGTGTTCACTAGGAAGAATTGCCAAGGACCAAGGTGGTGCATCATATCATTACTCAATAACATACAATCTTCTTCCTAGTGAACATCAATTTAAAAAGTAATAGTAATGAAAACAAGATAAACCCAATTTAAAAACAAGATAATACTAGGATGACATACATACATATTTAGCATCTGCTAATAAAGATAATGAATAAATAATTTATGATGATCAATGTGTTTGGTCATCGAGAGGCGGATCACTCACATAGTTTTTCGATCCAAACCTGCCCAATCTGCA